AGAAACCCGTTTATATATATATATATATAGCATAATAAATAAATACGAAAGGGAAAAAAAGAGAGAGAAAAAACGAAGAAAATTAAGAAAACCATTAAGTTTTATTTACTGTGCATAAGCTGCAAGTAAATAGAACTCGTAAAATAAGTTAAAAATGTAGAGAAAACATGAAAAAATTACAGAACAATGAAAAAAGGGAAAAAGAAAACTAATATTAATAAAAATAATAAAAATAGGATATAATCCTTCATGCGGATATAATCGTGTGATAAGATTACAATTTTCCGTATTTTTATAAATTTGTTTCTTCGGATTTTTATCATTTTTCTTTTCCTTTTTCTATTTTCTGTAATTGTTCCATGTTTTTTAACCGACGCAATCTATTGCAAACCAATACAAAAATTGTTGTAAAAATCTATTTCTGAAAACAATGAATGGTGATCTTTATCATCATCAAATTAGTGAGAAGAAATTGAATGGAAGAAACAAAAGTAATGAGGTTGAATATGAAGGGAAAAAAACATTAAGAAAATGAATCTTAGTATATAAACCAAGAAAAAAAATTTTTTTTTTTTACAAAATACAATATAAGAGTAAATTCATTAGATATATTACCGTCTGGTGTCTGGCAATTTATAAACACATTTGTAAATTTTTCAGTTTGAAGAAATCAAGCCAAATTAAATAATTAATTTCATCCTAGTAATACATTCTTGACTTACGGTAATTGAAAACGAATGTTTAATGAAGAATAATTTAAGCTAATATTAGACTGCTATCTTTGGTAGATATTTTTATCAGTCTGATGCCTTTTGTGCCTCCATATGAGAGTCAGGATTTGTGTAAAAAATAATTATTTTCATAATTTTAAAAAAAAATGCTCTAACATTAAAACCAAAATTTAAAATTGACAACCTCCCACTGTTCTGTTTCATGTGGTACAGTCACCAAACGTGAACTGAATTGCGTTGTTTATAGATAAAACGATCGAGCTAAGACTAAATAAAAAGATGCAAAGTTCAATGTAAAATATAAAGTGAAAAAGTAAAAACTTAATTTACGAAACTATTTTTCTCATGAGATCTTGATTTTATTTATTTACATTTACATATATAGTGTGTCAAATAAAGCCTTCTTTAGCCACAGAATATTCATTTAGAACAACAGTAAAACTTAAATCTAATTTCATGCTAAAATCATTAAAAAGTCGTATATAGAAATCTAGTGGGCAACAATTCGCACACTAAATTTCTATTTCCTCACATGTGAATGCGAATTCGCCTTACATTTAATAAATTATCAACAAAAATTAACGATATTGAAAAATTGAAATTTTTAGTATGTATAAGCAATTCTTGTTGCATCATATTAAATTTTATATTGCATACATAGAAATATTTTTTCTCAAGAAATAGTCAAGTTTAAAAGTTTATAGATGAATGTATGGTCAAATATATTAATGGTATTAAAATAATCTTGGCGCACTCTTTCAAATAAAATTTTCTATTACTTGATGCTTATTGGATTTGACACCGATTGGCCACTAGTATGGAAAACATGAAGAAATGGAAAATTTAAAATATAATTAGGCATGAAAGCTGTGTTGATTAAAATGGCTCAAAAAGGCAAAGAGTATATACAAGGAAGATGTAAAAATGTGGATTTCGAAGACAAAAAAGATTGAAGACATGTTTCGACACAAGAATCAAGCATATAACCTCCATATGATTACCAGTCATTACTCCATATGATACCAACATAATCTTCTCCATATGATTACCATTTATTTCTAAATAATTTTATTCCAATTTAATTGAAAGTATTAGGAAATATTTATTGTTCTTTAAGAGATTTTATTACCTAGGAAGGAGTTAAAAATTATTTATTTAACAGCAAAAAAATCCTAATCAAATTACGGTAAATAGTACCGGCACTCAGTATGTCGATTTTTTTTAATCGTAAAATTCATTTTTACGGTAAAATTTTACGGAACAAAGTTGTGATACATCGTTAATTTTTTACAATATTACTTTCATTATTGAATTATCGAATCACTATAATTAAATTAACATTATTGTAAAAATCACGGTACATTATTTTTCGGTAAAATGGATTTTACACATGATGCACCCAAAGGAATTCGAAATTTGATTCGGAATCTTCTCATAGTGTCCAAGCACTCCAGGTATTAAAATTTCTACATAAAATATTTTTAATTTAGTTTTTGTAAAAAGGGATTTAACATAATCCCATTTTGCTTAAACTCCTTTAAAAGTATATCAGGGACCAGGATATCCCAGTTGGTAGAGCGTTGGATCCATGTCCAAGAAGTCATGAGTTTGATCCCCGCTGGCAGAAGATATCCCATGTAGTAAATGCACGTTAAATCTGTCGGGTCATAAAATCCTCCATGTTCTCATAATAAATCATACCTCTGGGGGTACGGAGTTGGATACTGATGGTTCTCTAGTTCAAGTCAAAATAAAGATCTGTGGATGAATGAATAGATGTATGAATGGGTCCGCTCTAGAAACGGGCAGTGACGTGTGTGTGGTTGAAATCGTATTCTTGGCCATATATAGGGTGACCAAAAAACAAGAAAGGCACCTTCAAACTCGCTTTGTTTCACCAAGCAAGCTTTCTGATATTGGAAAGTGGCATTAGAATCAACAATATCAAAAGTATTTCAGATATATCTTAATTTTATAGTGTTTATGTTGTTCCATAATTTAGGATAGAAATATCCAACTCTTATTTCCAATTGTTTTCAGAACATTTCAATATTTTTATTTTATAATTACAATTAAAAATACAAGGAATAGCGTTTCTATAATATTATCAACATGCACTATTTATTTTGTTTTTGACAAATAAATAACACTATAAAGTGAATTTATAAATAAGAACTAAAAATGTAAAGAATATTTGTTTTATACCGATCACTCATAAAGATCAAGGAACAGCCATACAAAATCAAAGAAGACTAAAAAAAGTTAACAGAAAAAAATTGAAACCACTATCTTTAAATCGATAAAAAACAACAACAATTTATTCAGCAAAGTATACATTAAAATTGAAGTGCGTGCAGTTAATTGCTTCGTTCATTATTTCTATTTAAAATAAACATTTCTTATAAATCATTTATTTATTTTTTGTAAATTTAAAGTTTTTAAAAATATTTTATGTTAAATCAATTCAGCTATGTGGATAATTACATTTGTCTGCCTTTTTCCACTTGTTTGTATATGATATTAAGTTTTCCGTTCGCATCGCTTTGAGGTAACCTATTATGCATATTCCGTTCGCATCGCTTTGAGGTAACCTATTATGCATATTAACAAAAGGAATTCATTCCTAATAACGAAGTTAAGCTTTGATTATACTTTCTATTTGAAAGCTTCATTTGTATCCCATGGTAACTAAAGTCTGCCGTATTTGTGTTAATTTGTGCCAGGAAGCTCTGTATCTTAACTGCGTTAAATAATTTTATTGATGAAATTTGTTTTTGGTTGCATTCAAAATGGATTCAAGCGCCGTTTTTCGAAAGTAAGTAAGTTTTCGAGGGAATTGAGTAATTTGAAGAACATTTTAATTCCTTTTCTAATTGCTGCACTTGTTTCTAAAATATCCTTCTTAATTATAAGAAGCACAATATAAATGCGCTGTAACCATAAAATTAAAGTGAATTTCATGAAACTTTCATTTAAAGTACTTAAACTTTTCCAGCTGAATTCTTGAAAGAATATATTATTATTAATAAAAAAAAGAGAATCCACCGCTCTTTTAGGTGTTCAAATTTCCGTTACATTTTGTTTTGCTACGCAAACACCATCAGACTTAGCTTTTTTAAATTTCGAGGTGATTAAAAAGAAGTAGAGAGAGTACGATGAAATAAAAAAAAAACATCATTTGATTATTGGTTTGAGAAATGTAAAACTTTAAATAAAATTGATGCGAGGGGCCCATAGAACTGAAGAAGAAAAAGTGCTATTTTTACTTATAATCTTAACATGAGTTCGCTTCGTAATTCCAATTAGTTCTGAAGTTACATAAATTTCCAGTGCTTTTATTTTCGCTATTTGACGTTCTGACGTGATGTTCAAATTTGACGTTCTGAAAGAGTCATTTTATAATCTTAACACAAGTTCGCTTCGTAATTCCAATTAGTTCAGAGTTATAAAAATTTCCAGTGCTTTTTTCTCGCTATTTGACGTTCTGAAAGAGTCATTTTTACTTATAATCTTAACACGAGTTGGCTTCGAAATTAAAATTAGTACAGAAGTTATACAAATTTCTAGTGCTTTTTTTTCGCTATTTGACGTTCTGATGTGATGTTCAAATTTGACGTTCTGAAAGAGTCATTTTTACTTATAATCTTAACACGAGTTCGCTTCAAAATTCCAATTAGTACAGAAGATATTTCAATTTCCAGTGCTTTTTTTCTCTCGCTATTTTGCTTAAAATAACTTAACATAACTTTTTCAAACCAGTTTTTCATTTGGATCTTCCCAAAAAGAGAACTGCCCAGGGCAGAGTTGTTCAGTTTTTAGGTATGATTAATAATGATATATCAAAGATTTCTGAAGCCTGTAACCAAAAATTATAAAACTTGATTTTAAATTTTTTTAATGGATTCTGTTTCTGTCTATCGTTCTAGAAAAGGAGCCAAAGTAGAAGATGACTTCTTCCACAGTTTTCTGCCGAGACTTTTGTCGGATTCTATGATCACTGGAGTTCCGCAGATTGTTGCCGCTGACCATATTGTGAAGAAACTTATACGTGCTGCTGTGTTCGTCGCATGCATGGTTGGTTTTGTTTACCAGTCACTAGAATTTATGGAAATTTATTGGAGATATGAAACTGTTGTAGATGTGAAAGTAGCAAATGATAGAGGAACCGAGATTCCAGGTTTCACTGTATGCAATTACATTGGGTAAGGCATGCTTGAATCTTTAAAACTAAATTCAAGGAGATATTATTAAATTATTTATGATTACCATTTTTAATCATTTCTTTTTAATCTTTCTGTTTTATATTTCATTATGTTGATATGTAATTGGGCACTTGCCTTTCAAGAAGGAGAAGACCTCCTATATCCGCACATGTAACTATGACGTCAGCACCAGCTAATCTTTATCAGCAAAATGACGTATTAAAGTTGAGTTAAGTTTCTCTACATAACTTAGAATGTTAATTGACGATAATTTAATAAAATACAGAGAAGTATCGCACATCGAATTGCTTGAATTCTTTCTCGCCAATTTCTTTTGCTTCGATTTATTATTTGTTTATGTATTTCGTTCTAACCATGATATATCTTTGTTTTGTGTATCGGGCAACTTCAATGCATAGTTAGTTTGTTTATGTCCCACATGGGTATGTTCATGTATTTGTGTTAGGTCTCTGTGTAAATATATAGTGAAATAATTAAAATCCTTGTAAAATAATCTTCGTGAAAGAATTTAGAATGAGACACTTAAGAATATTGATACTTGGTAGGCTTTCGAAATAGAACGGAAAGAACAGTTGCTAACGCAAACAAATGCCACGTTTCAACATCCAATCAGGATCGAGATACCTACACTACGTCACTTGCAGGTATCCCATTATGGAGATTCTACTCTAAGTTGTTTCCTTTTACTTTCGTTGACAGGGTTCATTCCGTAATCATTGTTTAATATAGATATATATTTAGAACTTTTGACAAAAATTTGGAGAAAAAAAATTTACACATTGAGGCGAGCGAATAAATATTTTAACCAGGGAAAGACAAAAACGATACCGAAAGCTGGCAAACAGATTTTGTGAAAACGGGTGCACATAGTTCTTAACCTATTGGATTACTTGAGGAATTGGAAGAATCGAAAAAAGATTTTTAATATCACCTACAAGCATCAACTGGCAATTAAATAGGCTTTGATACTTTATTCACTCACTTTCCGTATCAATAATTTGACAAATTTCGAAAATATTTAATTATTGCGTAAATATTAATTTGTCTCCTTAAATGTGCACAATTTTTTGCCTCACCAAAACCTCTAAAACTATACTCAACTTATAATTAAGAATTTTTAAAACCCATATAGCACAGATTGTTCCCTTGACGTCTTAATAAAGTCAAAAACGTCATAATCACAGATGTGAACATTTTAAATTGTCCGTAAGAAGTTATAACCTGACTTCAATGTTATTTTATCTTGTGATGTCAAAGAAAAGTCACGGTGACTATTTATTGTTATTTTTGTCATTTGGTAGTTACAACTATACTTTACTGGGACTTGGTGACTGTGAAACTTTGTGTCCACTTTGAAGCAACTTTGATCCCTTGAAAGTCACGTATAAACCATTTAATACCTTTTCTCATTTAAGTCAAAAGGATGTTTTTTGTGACTGATCTCATAATACTTTCGTACTAATTTTTTACGAATTTGTTTCACTAAAGTTAAACAATTTGTACTTTTATGTGACTTGTCTCACTAATGTTAAGATTTTCCACTTCATTCAGACAAGACACTAAATAGTTTTATAAGCAGTTTTTTTAATAGTTTTATAAGTAGTTTTATAGGCAGACTAACTTCTTAAAATTAATTATGTAAATCTCTATAATGTAAATCTCTATAATGTCACAAGTGCACTCAGCAGTTACATTTACAGGTGTGACTGGTTTAATATAGCTTTAAACAAAATTTATTTGTAGAAACGTTAAAAAAATTTATTTGTTAAAAAAATGGTTTCTGTACAATGCTCGGTACGTAAAACTCAGCAAAAGTGATTATATACACTTTTGAGACCAGTGGTTTAAAAGTATAAATTGAAAAAAAGATATAAATTTTGGTAAAAAACCGAAGTTTTGCAAATCTTAGGTTTTACTGGTAAAACATTGCCAAAGGAGCTCTGTAAAAGACCGAATTATGTTTAAATAGGATTCCATCTCGGCATTGTCCCAAGCCTTTGAGGTAAATCATTACCAAGCTGCTTTGGTAAATCTTACGTTTCACCGGTAAATCTAAGATTTACCAGACTTCGGGCTTTTACAGCAACACTGTAAAAAAGTCGAGTACACGGCTAAAGTTTTTAAATAATGATTACTAGAAGATTCTTTTTATAATTCTAAAATTTGACACTCCTGTGTAAACAAAAAACATTAAAATAAAAATTTTAGATTTTATTTAAAAAAAAAAAAAACTTAAGCACTGCTGTTAAACTTTAACCTCAATTTCATACTTCAAAATCAGTTTACGAATTAATTAATGGCGACAATACTGTAAAAAAATTATCTAGTTCTTTCAATTAGAACTACTATTATATCATTCATTATCTAGTGAAATGTCGACTTATTAATAAAATCATTAAGTCCTTAAATTTTTTTTTCATTAATGGTATAAAATTTCTTTTTTCCCCTATTTTTCGTAAAACGTGGGTAAGATAATGCAAGAGAATAGTTCAGTGAACACATAAAATTTTAGTAAATATGCAAGAAAGAAAAGTTAGTAAATAATGTTAAAGGCTGAGAAAAATTAAATTATGATTAGAAAAAAATTTACACTCATAATTTTTAACGTTTTATTTAAATTAACGTTTAATTAACATTAAATTAACGTTTTTAAGGTCATTTTGGTATCAAACCCTAAGCTTAATAAGTAGATAGGGACTTGAAATACCTTCAATCAAATTTAATCAAAACGATTAAAACAATTTTAAGTTTTCTGCAATTTTTTTTCCAAGTGTGAACTTCTTTTAAGCTAATTTTGGACTATGAATTTCAAACATAAATTTTTTTTAAGAAATTCAAATGTTCTAGTAACAACTAAAGAAACAGTAATTATAAAATTTAATTTGGGTTAGTAATAACATCACCGATTTCGGATATATGTATTTTGATTTTTTATGATTTTTTAATGTTTCAAATCATTTATATGCTAAACGGAGAGAAAAAGTCTGGTAAAATTACCATATTGTATGGTAATATATTTGTGGTTAAAACCAATAACATAATCCTGTTGAATAAAAACAAAAAAATATACTGCATTTACATCGTTCATTTAGTAATTTTGCCGATAATTTTGATGGTTTATCGATTATTACCATCAAATAATTACTACCATCCATTTAGTAAATGCAAAACTGAAAAGTAAATATAAACAAACAAATGGCTTTATATCATACTTTAAGTTGCCATATCAAAATTACCTAATTTTATTACATATTACAAAGCCATATTTTATTGCTAGTAATAACTAAAATCATTGCCAAAGGCTTCGGAAAAAGCTGAGCTTTTTGGTGTTCCCGTACAGCCAGAAACACGATACGTTTTACCATATTCTGGATGTTTTGACCATACTTTTTTCAGTATAGTATCGCTAATGTTCAATTTCAACATATAAATAAGTTTTAATCACATACACGTTGTTGCTTTAAAGACTGCAAATCTTAATAGTTTTTCTACTTTACAATTTAAAAACAGTTGAATTCGCTATTAGATCAATAAAAATGTATATATTCGCTTTTGTGGTTTCAAGTTGTGCTATCATGTTTAATGTTAACAAATAAAAACTCTTTTTCATAGATTGCTTGCAAGCGAAATATGTCGTCAACCGCAATATCGGAGCAAGTGTCATTTATTACTGCAGCATCCAGAACAAACAGATACAAGCATGGATTTCTGTGATTGTTTTCCGAAAAGATGGTGTGTTGATGGTATTCTGCAAAACTATTCGGTAAGTATTGTATCAGAAAACTATCGTTTGCATATTTTTAAGCTTAATTGTTATTTATCATTTTTATATCGTTTGTCATATCGTTTTCATTATTTTTAATCTTTTATAAAATTATAGATATAAATTATTCGAGTTCAGTTTTTGTTTTGTTCTATCGCTTACAAGGTAAGCTTTTCTTTAGAAGCGTAATAAATATTTCTTTTTTATAATAGCTATCTGTTAATTGTTTATTTAAAACAGCTGAGATAAAAGTTTAAACTGGTTTAGCAACCTGCAAGTGTATAGTTTAACAACCTGCATCAAAATTCAGACTTTTGCAGTTAAACTTATGGAGCCCTTGTTCGTTTGATACCCAAATCAGCTAAATCATTACAAGTTTAGCATGGCAATTTTAAGAACATTTTACTTCGGGAATTAAATTTACCGATGTTTTCAGTGCTTTTTAAAACAGTAAATTAGTTTACATTTCATTTTTTTCAGTCCATTTTTTATAACTTAAGCTCCTTTGTAAACTTTCGAAAATTATAAGAAGAAAAAAAATTAAGTGGAAAATAGCCAAACTAAATTGACTTAAGGTTAACAAATTAGATTGAAGATTTTTTAATTAACAAACTAAAAAAAAAGTATGGAAAACAAAATGGATTGAGCTGTTTAAAAAACAAGCAAAAAAACTCAAACATAAAACTCCTTCACTACATTTTAGAGAATAAAACGCAGTTAAGTTAAGCATATCGAATTCGGCAAATCTTTTTAAGACATATAAAACAATATTTCATAAAGTGGTGTCTGCTCGTAAATTTGGTAAAACTGCTTTAATTTGGTAATTTAATTATTATACTTTAGTAGAGAATGGCATAAAAACCATTTATTTGGTTAAAAATACTTTTCAATTTTTCTAAATGCGTAATAATAATAAGTACAATTTTGAGAGTCACAATTTTTGGTTAAATTTTACAATATGAACGAAAATCATTACAAAACGAATGGTTTAAATACCAGATATTTTGGTTACATAACCAAAATTATGTTTATTTTTATTTTTTTATTTTTTATTTTTTAAATTTCTTTTTTTAAAGAAGAAGTGCCGTTATAGAGCAATGATTTTGACAGATTTTTTTTTCACCGTGTAATTATTTTCTTTTAGATTCAGTCGAATTTCAAAACTATTGAGATAAATTGCATACACATTATATTAAACACGAAAAAAAGCTTATTTGTATGCATAAAATTAGTCTGATTGTTTGCTTTAGTCTGATTATATTTATCTGATTATATTTATTCTATACAATATCAGTTAAATTATGGTTTTATTTTATAAATTAGTTAATTTTTCAGTAATTCGACCTTTTTTCAGTTTCCCGAGCGAAGAGTTTACGATGAAATCAGTCTTCTAGATAACGAGGAATTAATAGATCATTTTCTTCAAACTGAAAAACAATTTCTCTCATCATGTCGACTTGCATATGTGGATGAAGGAGATTATAATGAGGACTGCAAGTAAAATGATTTTTTTTTGCTAAATATTTATGTATTGTAAGGGTAATATTTGAAGGAAACCTACTAAAATATAGAACTTTATTTAAAATTGGTGAGTTAAAATTTTCAATAAATGTAGATTTATGAAAAATTTCATAACAAAGTTTTCAATTACTTTTTAGAAAACTGCACAGTAAAACGGTTAAAACAATTAGTAAAAACTGAAAGCATGTATTAATGGGTAAATATTCGATACTTAGTTCAAAAATCAAAAACAATAAGCTTATATAAAAGCAGTATTATTTCAGTACACATACATTGGATCTCAATTGGAAAAGTTTTTGAATTGTGAAATTTGTAAAATAAGATTTAAAAAAAAAAAACTTTTCTCTGAATAAAAAAAATTTAAATCTAAAACAACTGCTCTAAAAAGTGTTTAAAAAGCAAGTGAAAATCAAAAACTAATATTCGCGGATCATTATTGCTCAAAAAAATTTAACTCTTACAAATTTAATTTAGTATTTAAAGTTAATACATAATGGGTAAACAGTCGAAAAGCGAAATTTCTCAAAATAAGATTTTTAATAAAAGGTTTATTTTTCAAAAAGTTTTTAACGAAAGTCAATGCGTCAATTTCATGTCAAAAACAAAATAGACAATTTCAATTTATAATTTATAATAGCTATTCGGGTTTGAATAATGTTTTTTCTCTATTGAAATAAGCTTTTGCTGGCCATCTCAAAGACAATAATATTGATAAAGTTCAGAAGATCTCAATTAAGAGCAGAGCCTAAGAATAAAGGTGAAAGAAGTTGACTGTAGAACAATTCGAAAGTGCTATCTGTCATTACGGTAGTTTATTAAAATTGAATTAATTGTAATATAACTCATTTTTACTATGAACTCGTTTGTTCTTTGTAAGAAATGCTTAACTGTTATATAAAATATGACTTTAATTAAGAATTCAATTCTTCTTACCAGAAAATATTAATAGTCATATGAAACATGATTTAAAAAAATGTTTGCTTGTTCTTTTCAGCAAATAATATAAACCCGTTCTATAAAACATAATTTTTAATGAGAAATCATTTATTCTTTCCATAACCATCGTTATATTCAACATGACCTTTAATAAAAACTATTTTGTTCTTTTCAACAAATATTAACCCTTATATAAAACATGAGTTCTAATATAAACTAGTTTATACTTTCAAGCAAATATTAACAGTTTTATAAAACATGATTTTTAATAAAAACTAGCTTGTTTTTTCCGACAAATAATTTTAACCATTATATAAAACATGACTTTTAATAAGAACTCGCTTGTTCTTTAAGGCAAATATGAACCGGTTTATAAAACATGAATTTAAATAATAATTCATTTGTTCTTTCTAGCATACATTCGCCGTTACATGAAACATGAGTTCTAATATAAACTAGCTTATACTTTCAAGCAAATATTAACCGTTTTATAAAACATGCTTTTTAATAGAAACTCGCTTGTTCTTTCCGACAAATAATTTTAACCATTATATAAACATGACTTTTAATAAGAATTCGCTTGTTCTTTAGGGCAAATATTAACCGGTTTATAAAACATGAATTTAAATAAGAATTCGTTTGTTCATTCCAGCATATATTAGCCGTTATATAAAACATGAGTTTTAATATAAGCTAGCTTGTACTTTCCAGCAAATATTAACAGTTATATAAAACATGACTTTTAATAAGAACTCTCTTATTCTTTCAAGCAAATATTAACCGCTGTATAAAACATGACTTTTAATAAAAACTAGCTCTTTCTTTCCGACAAATAATTTTAACCATTATATAAAATATGACTTTTAATAAGAACTCCCTTGTTCTTTAGGGCAAATATTAATCGTTATATGAAACATGAGTTTAAATAAGAATTCGTATGTTCTTTTCAGCATATATTCGCCGTTACATAAAACATGAGTTTTAATATAAACTAAGTAACTTGTACTTTCCAGCAAATATTAACCGTTATACAGAACATGACTTTTAATAAACATTTACTTGTTCTTTCCTCATCTTGTTAAAATCTGGCTCTCTCTTTTTCCTTCTCTTTTCCAGTCATTATTAACTATTTTCAGACATTAGAAACAGAAAGTATATTTTCTCATTATCAATACTTTTGTTTCCTTTAAAAATGAAGTAAAATATTATAGTATTTACAATAATGAACTCTAACAAATAAGAGGACTTTAACTGATAAAAAAATATTTTACATTTAAATAAAAATTGTTAAACGAACTTATAATTTCAGTAAATTGCCATCACTCCAAATACGGTGCCCCCATTCGGAAACCTCAATCGTCAATTTCTGCTACACTGTGAATTCTCTGATTGGTAGACCTCTGATGAAACCTCATTCCACCACATCCACAGCCAGTATGTATATGATTGTTTAATTTTTTTTCTCTCGTAATTTTCCACATCCAGTATGAATATGATTGTTTAAGTTTCTTTTTTCTCGTAATTTTCCACATCCAATATGAATATGATTGTTTAAATATTTTTTTCGTAATTTTCCACAGACAGTATGTATGTGATAGTTTAAGTTTTTTTTTTCTCGTAATTTTCCACATCCAGTATGTATATGATTGTTTAAATTTTCTTCGTAATTTTCCACAGCCAGTATGTATATGATTGCTTAAAATTTTTTTTTCGTAATTTTCCACATCCAGTATGAATATGATTGTTTAAATATTTTTTTCGTAATTTTCCACAGACAGTATGTATGTGATTGTTTAAGTTTTTTTTCTCGTAATTTTCCACATCCAGTATGAATAATGATTATTTAAATATTTTTTTCGTGATTTTCCACAGACAGTATGTATGTGATAGTTTAAGTTTTTTTTTCTCGTAATTATACAGAGCCAGTATGTATATGATTGTTTAAATTTTTTTTCGTAATTTTCCACATCCAGTATGAATATAATTGTTTAAATATTTTTCTCGTAATTTTCCACAGTATGTATATGATTGTTTAAATTTTTTTTTTTCGTAATTTTCCACATCCAGTATGAATATGATTGTTTTTTTTCGTAATTTTCCACATCCAGTATGAATATAATTGTTTAAATATTTTTTTCGTAATTTTCCACAGACAGTATGTATACGATTGTTTAAATTTTTTCTTCTTCGAAATTTTCCACAGCCAGTATGTATATGATTGTTTAAATTTTTTTTCTTCGTAACTTTGCACAGCCAGTATGTATAGGATTGTTTAAATTTTTTTTCGCAATTTTCCACATCCAGTATGAATATGATTGTTTAAACATTTGTTTCGTAATTTTCCACAGCCAGTATGTATATGATTGTTTAAACTTTTTTTTCGTAATTTTGCACAGCAAGTAAATTGCTTAATTTTTTTTCGTACTTATACATAAGCCAGTATGTATATGACTGTTTAAATATTTTTTCGTAATTTTCCACATCCAGTATGTATATGATTGTTTAAATTTTTTTTTCGTAATTATACACAGTCAGTATGTATATGATGGTTTAAATTTTCTTTTTCGTAATTTTCCACATCCAGTATGTATATGATTGCTTATATATTTTTTTTCGTAATTTTCCACAGCCAATATGTATATGATTGTTTAAATTTCTTTTTTCGTAATTTTCTGAAGTGTATGAAATATATTATTATTGAACTATTTTTCGAAACGCTTATTTGACATCTTCATGCTGCCACATCCACAGCAAGAACCTGATTGTTTTAATTGTTTCAATTTTTTTTAAACATTTTCTCGAAATGTTTGAAATATATTGTTCTTGAAGTATTTTTCGAAACAATAATATGATAGCATATAAAATAGTTTCTTTACTTTCCTGCTTGTCATTTGATCGAGTGTTAATTTAAGATTAGCGAACGAAATAGTTTTCTTATTAAGGAAAGTTGAGGATTAAAAGAAACATCATTAAGTTTCTTTTAATAACATAATTTTCATTTCGATGCAATAAATTTATGGTATTATTATTTTTAAAAAAATTAACATAAAAGTAATTTTTCATCCTGTATTTTTTTCTATTTAAAAAATGACATATATTTTTATACAAAAGGTTTTGGTAGACGCGCTTTACTCTAACTAATAAATTCTTTCCTACTTCTTGTGGCAAATCACTTAAACCTCTAAAATCATTGAACATCTTTCGCTGTTTCTTTTCTTTTGTTATTATTATTACCACGTTTATATAAACTTGCCTTCGTGTATGTCTGTCCGGGTGGAATTTTGTAATCGATTTTAAACTAACTTCCCGAGTAGCTACAAACTTCAAATTTGGCACATAGTTTAGAATTGGATGACAATGCATGAAAATGAAGAGAAAAAAGACATACAAAGTAAAATAAAATTGAAATTAAAAAAAAAAATTATTTTCGAGATTGTCTTTTGTTGTCGATTCCATTATTTCAAATTAGTATTACAAGTCAGGTGAAAATATTTTTATTTTATTACCACGTTTATATAAACTTGCCTTCGTGTATGTCTGTCCGGGTGGAATTTTGTAATCGATTTTAAACTAACTTCCCGAGTAGCTACAAACTTCAAATTTGGCACATAGTTTAGAATTGGATGACAATGCATGAAAATGAAGAGAAAAAAGACATACAAAGTAAAATAAAATTGAAATTAAAAAAAAAAATTATTTTCGAGATTGTCTTTTGTTGTCGATTCCATTATTTCAAATTAGTATTACAAGTCAGGTGAAAATATTTTTATTTTATTACCACGTTTATATAAACTTGCCTTCGTGTATGTCTGTCCGGGTGGAATTTTGTAATCGATTTTAAACTAACTTCCCGAGTAGCTACAAACTTCAAATTTGGCACATAGTTTAGAATTGGATGACAATGCATGAAAATGAAGAGAAAAAAGACATACAAAGTAAAATAAAATTGAAATTAAAAAAAAAAATTATTTTCGAGATTGTCTTTTGTTGTCGATTCCATTATTTCAAATTAGTATTACAAGTCAGGTGAAAATATTTTTATTTTATTACCACGTTTATATAAACTTGCCTTCGTGTATGTCTGTCCGGGTGGAATTTTGTAATCGATTTTAAACTAACTTCCCGAGTAGCTACAAACTTCAAATTTGGCACATAGTTTAGAATTGGATGACAATGCATGAAAATGAAGAGAAAAAAGACATACAAAGTAAAATAAAATTGAAATTAAAAAAAAAAATTATTTTCGAGATTGTCTTTTGTTGTCGATTCCATTATTTCAAATTAGTATTACAAGTCAGGTGAAAATATTTTTATTTTATTACCACGTTTATATAAACTTGCCTTCGTGTATGTCTGTCCGGGTGGAATTTTGTAATCGATTTTAAACTAACTTCCCGAGTAGCTACAAACTTCAAATTTGGCACATAGTTTAGAATTGGATGACAATGCATGAAAATGAAGAGAAAAAAGACATACAAAGTAAAATAAAATTGAAATTAAAAAAAAAAATTATTTTCGAGATTGTCTTTTGTTGTCGATTCCATTATTTCAAATTAGTATTACAAGTCAGGTGAAAATATTTTTATTTTATTACCACGTTTATATAAACTTGCCTTCGTGTATGTCTGTCCGGGTGGAACAGATATGCATACACATATTCTCAAGAGCACACATACATGCACTAATATAACATTACTGTTATGTATTTCATGCACCCCACGTTTTTCGTTTTTCAATTTTTTTTAAAATTATTATTCTACACTACAAAAACGTGGTTTTTAAAAATGTTATTTTTTTTAATGAATTGTTCTTATTTTATAAAATCATTCAACATCTTTCGCTGTTTCTTTTCTTTTCGTTCTTATTTTATATATCTTTTAAATTTACTTCATGTAAAAATTGCTAATTTTTAAAAAAAAGTTTTATCAATGATTTTAAATTTCAATTTATTCTTTTTTTTTACCTTTCAAAGCATTTACTTTGGACCTCAATCCAATTCGATCCAATTATCCCTTGTTTATTCCTGCTGTGAAAGCACAAATTGCAATCCATAATCCTCGGGAAGTTGCCAATCCATACGATCAAGGATATACTATACCAGATGGCACAAGGCAAGACATCCGTATTAAAAAGGTACTTGGATTTAATACAAAATAATTTAAAAAGTGTAAAATATAAAAACTTTTCATTATGAAATAATTCTTGCATTTAAATGCCACATTTTACTGAATTGCTTTTCCTGTATGTTTGTTTACGAGTAGCATATCTAACAATTAAAATATCAACCATTCTTATACTAGTTAGAAAGCTCTAAGTTTAAGTGAAGCTTTATGCTGAATGCTAATACCAATTTCAATCATGCCTTGGAAAGAAATGAAAACATTTTTATCTTAAAGTAAAATTTATCACCAATTAAATGTTGACCCACTTTTTAACTAGTAAGATGGCTCGAATTTATACTGGAGCTCTGATTTGGATAACAATAAAAAACTGGATGCTTTTCAAATTAAATTCAGCAGAATTGTTTACTGAAATTTATACTGGAGCTCTGTGTTGGATAACAATACAAACTTAAGATGGGTTTAGTGGAAGAACTAGGTAAGTGACTTGACGACAAATAGCCAATAAACAACCTCAAACAATTTCTTGCTTGGCATCGTACGCTGAGACGCAGGGAGAAAAATAAATGGTGAAAAGGGAAAACTTTGTGTTTCAGATACACTACCCTAGTCAAATAATAAATTTTATAACAATTCACAAAATAATAAATATTATTTTGTGCCTAGGCGACTTTTTCAGTTTATTATTATTGTAACTAGCTGAATACTTGTTTTTCTTTTTGAAATAAAACCGAAAAATCAATACATCTATAATGATCAGCATTAAAAAATCATCCACAAAATTTAAAAGAGATATGTGGACACAATCTTTCGGCATAGTTCTATTGCTCCAGATCACAACTCCTGATAGTTAAGAATTGCTGTAATCAACAATTTTCTCCGGTATTTATCCCTTTCGGAGGGCCATAAAAAGCCTATTTATACACTACTAGTAGTTAGTAGTATTAGTATATATAGAACCTATTAAAACAGCACCAATTAACTGACATCAGTAATAACTATTACCAAAATTTTCTGTTTTAAGGATTATTTTAAAATTGTAAATAAGAGGAAGGTCATAAACATTCTGTAAGATATGTGTACTCGCTTAAAATATCAAGCGTTAAATCCGAAATGATAAGCATACTTACCTATTAAGCAAGACTAATGGCAAGTTTTTCATAAAAATTGACATGGCTCAACGGAGTCTACTTATGAACGAAACACGGAGCACTTTATTCTGCACTTTATTGGCAGAGATTGCCGTGCTGATGCAAATTATACTTTGGTAGAAACATATCAAAGCTTCATTGGCATCGGGTTAACATTGAAAGGTTATCGTGTTTCTTACCTCCTTCTTACGCTAATGCTGATTAGTTTCACTTTATTCTTGAAGGAGAATGTGACTTTTTTTTTGTTTAAACAGGTGTTCTCTTGTATTCTAGATTCAAGGTTAAGATGTTGAAAATTTAAAAAAAGCTGCATATTCGCTGAGTGGATGGGTGTTCAATTTGCGGATATTCGTGAAGTGGCAACCTAAATTATGAAAATTGAAATTGTATATCAACAACTATACCTAGATAACGCTTGTATTAAGGCTAATAAAAAATACTTGTATTTAATTTACGAAATTCCTTTGGAAGTAACGAAAAGGCATAACACTTTGACCAGAACCAGTGCTATTTAAGAGAAAGGTTATTTAAACTTTAAAGTCACCGAAATCTCGCTAATTAAAGCGTTACATACCAGTGAAACATCTACTCCACGAAAGCTTAGCTCTCGCTGCCTTTGAATCGTATTTAATCGGTTTTCGGACTAACAAGGAAAAAATCTTATACCAGTTTGTTCCAAATTAAGGTTGATGAAGTTTTATTCTACGTATATGAGCTAAAATACATATATATTTATTTTATCTTTTCAAGCAAAATTATATTCGAAGAAAGCATAGGAAATCGTCATTGAAAATAAGCAAATTCTAAGCACAAAAATCATTAAAGTCTCCTTTTGCTACATCAAGAATCAGAATTAGAATCAAATAAAGAGACCCCCAAAAGAAACAAATCAAATAAATAAACTCCCAATCAAATAGACCCAAATAAGAATCAAATATTAAATAAATAGAATCAAATAAATAGACCTCAAGAAAATTTGTGAGTTATACCTTCACTATCATACTAAAAACATAAGGATTAAACGAAAAGTTTTGTTTTGAGAACGTCATCTTTATGTTTTAATAGCAATTTGTGACAGTTTTATTAGGAATTGAGTTAGAATGTACTAGAATGTTGTAATCATCAAGAATTATGTACAAAAATAACCCAGCATAGAATCGCGTGAAAGTTTAAGCATTGTGTTATTGTTTTCCAGACATAAATAGTGTTTTAATTATTTTATAGGTAGTAAAGCGTCTTCTACCTCCTCCTTATGATACGCAATGTGTAGACTATATGAAATCATGGTACGCAAGAGGAGGACATGGCCCATTAAATAATAAAGTAATGAACACTAATTATTATTATTTTTTAAATTTATTTGAAGTGTTTTAATAATGTATAATTTATAAGAAATGCTGGCAAAGGTTAAAGTCTGTAAAATAACATTAAGTTGTATTATCTTAGGGAATTAAATATTCTTTTAAGTGTTTCGATAACGCTGATTTAGAATGATTTATAAATTCCAAATCTTTTCTTATGGTGTAAAAAAGATGATAAGATTATCATTTATCTAATTATTATTATTTAGTAACTATTATTATTTTAAATTTATTTGCACAATGTTTTAATAATGTATTATTTATAAGAATGTTATATATTAATTATAACAATGTTTCAATGTATTATTTATAGGAATTGCTAGCAAAGGTTAAAGTCTGTAAATAACAATAGATTGAATTATCTCAAGGAATTAAATATTTTCTTAACATCAAGAATTCTAAATTTTCCTGTTTGATAAATTTCTAACTATGTAATATGCATCTCTTGAAGCATTTATTAACAAAAGCAAATTTGTTCACCAAAATTTTGTACAAAACTATATGCTACCTATATTTTATTTATTTTTAAATATGTGAATAAATAATTTGTTATAGGAATGCATGCAAGAATGCCAAAGAAATATCAGTTTAAAAGAATTTGGATGTCTCCCTGAATTGTTTTTCTTGATTCCAGGAAACGAGGAAAGATGTGATTCAACAAGTTAGTCGGATTATTTTTGACCTATCATGCGAAATAATTAGAAAGACGTTGAGTAATTAGAAAGACTTTGAATAATTAGAAAGACGTTGAATAATTAAAAAGACGTTGAATAATTAGAGAGACGTTGAATAATTAGAAAGACGTTGAATAATTAGAAAGACGTTGAGTAATTAGAAAGACGTTGAATAATTAGAAAGACGCTGAGTAATTAGAAAAATGTTGAATAATTAGAAAGACGTTGAGTAATTAGAAAGACGTTGAATAATTAGAAAGACGTAAGCAAATACAGAAAAGGGGATCTTACTAGCAAAATTAAAATGTTTTACGAATACACTGTGAAAGCTCAGTCACAGTTGTAGCTAAGCAAGAGAGATTTTCAAGATTTGCCTGGTAATTTTTAATTGGCTTCCACCATAGAAATTTCTGTAGTTCTAAGGAAAGAGACAGAATTTTGTGAAAATTTCAAAAGAAGAAACAAATATTTTAAAGGTTCAGCGTTTTATAATATGGGGCTAAAATCAATATAATATTTATTTTCACTATTCATTTTAAAAGAGAGAATGAACTTTGAAATTATCCTCTTAACAAAATTCTTCTTAAGATAAAAACTCACTGACAATTTTCAGGAGATTTGTTTTTGTTATTTTTATACGTGCTTTTGTATTGACACGATTTCTTTTTTAAATTTCAAGCTGAAGCGAGAGTTAGACATATTTCTTAATAATACATAATAACTCACGTTACTAAATATAATTTAAAATTCGACTTTTTAAAATTCGATTGATCAGAAACTGTTCGACCGATTTCATTCCAATTCAGTATTTTGCCTTTAAAATAACTCTTTTTTAAATAATGAAGAAATCGTATACCTTACAATTCAAACTTTGTTTTGGCTATTATTAAATAACAAAAAGAAATCATAAATAATTATTAGAAAATATTTTTGCATTTAATTGCGTTTGAATGAACAAATTTTATAATTGTGTGCTTGAATTTCGATTCACTTAAAAAGTTCTTGAGATAAAGCGAAATACGCAAAAACTAAAGATAACATTAATGAATCCAAACTTCTGACCGCCCTCTTGACCAAATTGCAAATTTCCCAGATATTAGCTACCCCTAATATTTTGATGGTCATAAACCCAAATCTATCAAAAACAAGGTAGGTTTAATCAAAGAAAATACATTTTTGTGTTTAATTTCGTTACTTAAAATATTGCCGGCAGAAATTAATTAGCATATTTAAGGTAACCCCCACAAACTTTAGTATAAAATAAAGTAGGAGTCCTAATACTTGAAAATCTGATCATTAGATCAAAAGTCATTCTGGGTGATTCGTTTTTTTTCCGCACTGTATCACTGCAATATTTCAAATTTTTATCTTTTGTGTAGTGGATGCCTAAATGTAAAAAAAAAAGGATTTAAATGGTATTATACTCAAATCGTTTTATTAGTATTTAAACACTGAAGTTTATTATATTTTTTCAGAAATAGTTTCTCCACAAATGAAAGACAGAATTAATGAATGTGAAGCTAGATACTGTGGCTCAGCCTGCTAGTAAGATATTCTTATTCTCAATAAATAATTTTGCACTATAATTTATTATCATAAATTTATTTTGACTACAAACACAGATAAAATATTGGAATTCAAAAGTAATTGTTATTGTTTATTTTGACAATATAATTATTATAATTCTGAAAAATTCTTAATTTTTATTAGCTGTCTATCTTATTTCTTATTTTCAAACCAGAACTTGCTGTCGAATTAATTTTCAAAATTAGTTATAAAGTATACGCATAGATGGCAGTGATGAGAAAAATTACTTGACAATGCTTTCAATGTACCATCTATTAATGAACTTTGTTACTAATTTTTAAACTTGAATGGAATGGAAAAAAAAAAAATCTGAGCAGAAAGTACACATTTATTTCTATTTTGTTTCGTTTTCCTTATATGTTTTAAATTGCTGACCATTTAGATCTACCTATTACACAATTACTAAAGAATACAAATTACAGAAATCCCTTTTTTAAATTTTTAATTTAAAATTTTTTTTTATTCTATATCATTCTACTATGATGGCATAGACCTTTTCAATGATGTACAAACGTATTTGTTTAAGAAAGTAAACATATGAGTCAATAAAGACAATTATTTTATCATTATTGCTAATTCGAATGCATTTTAAATTATGCATTTTTAAAATTTGAAACAGTTTTATTATTCTGAATATTTTTAATTGTATTATTTTTTGTTTTATGCAGGGGTTATATTTTTAAATTAATTCTTTAATCTTTGCGTTTTTTTTTAAAAATAGCATTATAAGTTCTGTGGTGTTTTCAATCTTTCGACAAAATCTCTTAACGCTTAGACGCAGAAATTTTATTAAACATATTTTTTATTCATTTTTCAATATTTTGTATAAATTTAAATCAAAATAAGTGAAAAATATTACATTTAGTATTTTAATAATTTATGATTATGAGAAGCATCGGTGTCTTATTCTGAGTTAAAGGCAAAAATCTTCCAAACACGGCTCACTTCCAAAAATAATTTTTCAAATTTGCTTTCATTTGGAATTATTTAGATCTAAGACAAACAGTTATTTATCATTGAAAATTTTCTTTAATTTTCAAAATCAATTATTAATAAATTTTTTGAATATGAATGAAAAAAAAATCTAATTACATTTTTGCGATAAATAAACCAAAGAAACTGAACCGGTAAGATAGTACCGAATTGAAAGCTTCCTTCATCCGCTTCAAAAATATACAAATATAAAAATACAGATGACTTGTTTCAAGCGCTTCAAAAGTGGGCGCCCATTTTCAAGACTTGACAGACGTGAATCTAAAGAAACAGAAATGATTTGAAATAAAAATGTGAAGTTGCGAACGAAAAATGGAAAAATAAAGGTGACAAACAAAACCAGAGAAATTATAGAAGTTGAGAGACAAAAAAGCTGAAAAACATAATATGAAAAATCGCAGTGGCCTGAGCCAAAACAGGGATAAATGAATTCCCATGCGTTATGGGGAGGCGGTAAGTGAGGAATTAAAGTCGTTAATATAGAACTCAGCATTCAAATGAATAAAACAAGACATGGGTTTAAATAATTTTAACATTGTCAAAGTTAAATTTAATTAGAAATATACAGATTCGAGAAAACAGTCGATGTTGCTCTCTCCTCGGCCCTTGTGGTTTTTCTAGTTTTGTTTCTCACCTTTATTTTCCTTTTTCTTCATTAGCATTTTAACGTTTTTCTTTCAAAAATTTTTTTTATATTATTTACGTCTGGCAAGTCTTGAAAATGGGCGCCTATTTTTGTAACGTTTGAAACATGTCAACTTTTTTTTCATATCTGTATATCTTTGTAACGAACGAAGTTTTTAATCAGGTAATACTTGTTTTTTGGATTTTATAGTTTACTACAAATACAATTCCGATAATCTAATTTTCTTTGTCACCTTTATTTTTCTTTTTTTTTTTCATTGGCATTTCAACGTTATACTTTCAAATCATTTTCTTTTACATTTACGTCTGGTAACTTGAAAATGGGCGCCTATTTTTGTAACGTTTGAAAAATGTCGACTTTTTTTCATATCTGTATATCTTTGAAACGAACGAAGTTTTTAATCAGGTAATACTTGTTTTTCGGATTTTATAGCTTACTGCAAATGCAATGCTGAAAATCTTACTGATTGATTAGAAAAAAAAAATGCCATTTAACTGTTATTTTCTTCCTTGTATTTAGAGCGTTAGAAAAAGTATATAAAAGAGACACAGGTGTCCCATTTACATCAAAAAGGTTTCTACTTGAAAATATCTATTCAACTACATTTATATATTAGATAAAAAACTTTTCATTTCAATTTCGATAGAAATAAAATTAAACTGACTGAAGCGTTTTTTATTTCTTTCCCCATTTGAATAGTGAAGAGTTTTATGAAGTCGTCAGGGATCAGAGCATAACCGCTGGGGTAAGTTTTGAGTTTGACCTAATTATGTACTTTTTGTACTGCAATTAAAACGTTTTTAGTAATTGCGTAACCAAAACATAAGACTATTATCTGTTAGCCATTTTTCTGTCGAAATTCTTAATCTCTTCCTCTCTGCCCTTCAAACTTCTTCATAGACCCATTCACACCTCAGCAATATCGGCAACTTTGAAATTATGGTGTAAATTTTAAATATCACATTTTAAATGTTATTATATATAGTGAGTTGATATATTATATTTGATAATATTATTGAACTCGTTAATTATGGAATTTATGAAGTCCATTGAAGTAATTATGGAACTTATTATTCATCTTTTGTTTAATAGGTTAGGTTATCACGTATGAAATAAACGTTAACAATTTCACGATGTATGGTAATGACACTATCTAATTAGTATTTTAAAAGTCACATGAAACCAACAGTCGCTTTTTTGGTACATATGACTTCGAAGTGTAAACTAAAATAATGAAAGATCAACTAGAACTAAAGAAATATAATTTAAATCATCTATTCAGCCATGGAAAAATTGTAGTAAATTCTGAATATCACCTTTTAAATGATATTATATGCATAATTAATCTTTCTCTTAGTGAGTTGAACTTCTAACTCAGATTATTGAAAATTTAATGGCATGAAGTCACACCGGAATATACATAAGAAATAATAAATAAAAAAAATGAAGGTTGTATATTTGGTGCTAGAAATATATGTAGTGTTGGTATTAGGATACTTATCCTTTTGAGTGGGTCTATTACCTATTACCTAAAATCTATTACCTTTGCCTCTTGGTATATTAGATTCTAATACTTACAGAACTTATAACTTATAAACATTTTTTTTTAATTTTATAATTAGTTTCAGTCTAAAATATAGTCAAAATATCGACATACTCGAAATATCATTATCATCGAAAATAGCGTCTGAAAATATCGTCGAAAATTATAAAATTTTTATGCAAATAAGTTCTAGATAATATAGTGTTAATAGTTATTTTTTACTACACATGAAATGCGTGTCAATGTACGAGTATTATGGTCAAATTTTTTTAAGCTAGTAAATTTCTTCTATACTTTTAGAACAATTTCTATTATATTTCAAATCTCTTACATTATATTAATACTTAATATCTGTTTTTCAGAAAGAATGTATTCAAACGGAAGAAAATCAGTAAGTTCCTTTTGGTTTTTATAATTATGTACCCATCTTTATTATTACGTTATAAAATGCAATGGATCACTGTCAATACAACTTCAATGCTAATGCTCAGATTTAGACCAATGGTTCTCACCTAAGGGGTTCTTTCAATGTTTCAAGAAAAGAAATGTCAGTCACACTTACTTTATGCTCCAGCATTTTGTTTATTTTCAACTCAAATGAAACAATTCATGATAGCACATTTTTTTCAGTTTGCGAGACATAATTTAATCGAAATAGCATTAAAAAAAGATGTTTTTCTCGTCTGGAAACTACCACCACTGCTTTGGATAATTAAGAAAAGGTTTGATTATCATTTTTTATTCTGGGAATCGTTTGTGGAATAGTAAGTACAACCCTTGTCCAGAGGACTCATCAGACATGTCAGAAAAAAGCTGGAGTTAAAGTGGAGGTGCCATCTCGTAATGTGGAGATAATGTTGCAATATGATCCATGCTCTCAATTCACGACTTTTAAAGCAACGTTGTGACACCATAGAATTGAGTTAACATGTTTTATATACAAGTGAATTGGAATTATATTTTTGCAGTGTTAGATACACTGCACATCTTCCCCACCAGAATGATATATGTGATTGAATTCGATGAACGGATACAACTAGTTCATTCATTGCTGTTTTGCGGGAAAGGGAAAACTGTTTTAAGATCACAGTAAATTTTGGGAGCTGATTGTGAGAGCTGTAATAAGTTCACGGTCGCTCCTGCATTGCTACTAGCAGCCGAGTGTATGTAGGGCGACGTTATGTGTGATAGATATTGAGTAGCAAAGGCGCGAGGAAGTGGATGATATTGCAGTCACAAGTAGCAAATGTACCATCAATGTGTACCATCTATCTTGGTAGGCGTTTTCTCATCATGTTCTAAGGTCACCCATGTGGGGATGGTAGCTATCGACTTTGTCAACCTTCATCTATGAAAAGGTATCCCAACATAGAATTGTGTTAACATGTCTTATATACTAGTGAATTGTAATTATTTTACGTAGTGGTAGATACACTGCAAACATCATTTAGTACTTTTTCTCAGAAAAATAGGAGGGATTTTAAAGGAAAAGTTACCGTGCAGTTACTTTAACGAATAAATGAAATTTTTTTTAAATTTTTTTTTTAGAAAGAGACTAACAACGCAGTGGCTTGCTGCAATACTAATACTTTTTAATTTATTTTACATCAATGATAAGATTATGAACTCAAAAATAATCAAACATTGTAATTCACCTAGTTCTTTTTGGTTTTGTTGTTTAATTTTTAAACCATTTAAAAAAATGTGAATAAATACAGAATGGATTCTTGTTCTGATTTTTGGAAAGACAAAAAAGGCTTTGAGCAATATCGAAATTGGAGAATGAGTTAGAGTAGGTTTGAAACAATTGATATAGATAATAAGAAAATTATTAGAATTTTCTTGATGTGATTGGTTGATAATCAGAGAAACACGGATAAGGTATATTTAAATTTATAGTACGTGGATCAAACTGTTTTATTTATTAATATTGGAACATAATTTTTTAATTTTATTATTATTCTGATTCCATTTTGTCGGGAACTGTAATAGTGTGAGTATGGATGTAAAGTTAAGCACAGATGGCACTAGGGGTTAAAATTCGTTGTAATACTTCCATTATAGTATTTTATAGATTTTTACGCTTAAACTTGAAAAAGCGAGCCATCCAATATTGTTATACTTGTAGTGTTTACAATATAACGTGTGTTTTTTCAATTTGACTATTAACGAAACAAACAACAAATTAATTTGGAAGACTCTGAAGACCTGCTATAAAGCTACCTAAAAATGTAACAAATGGCGATATTTTCCACAAATCTAGTCAAATAAAAGTTATCACTCAAAACTTGTCAAACCTTACACTTTGAGCCGTGATGGCTCAGGGGATAGTGCGTTCACCTTCCACTGAACCGGGTTCGAATTCCAGCAATGGCTAGTTGATACGAATCCCACTCCCGGCTCGCACCGACCATAGTGCTGATGCGAAAATATCTTCAGTGGTAGACAGATCATGGGTTAGAGTTCCCTTGCAATGGGAGATTTTCGTGGTTTTCTCCTCCTTGTAATACAAATGAGGATTAGTTAGAGCAAGAAGTCCTCCAAGAAAACAAATTTCTCCCCAATACTGCAGCCTAAAGTTCCCTTGTCTTTTGTACTAGGCTCAAAATTACAAGCCTATGAACATTAGTAGTCGTATACCCAAAATTGGATCGGCTGTTCAACGACGGTTATACAATCAAAATTAAAGCCTCACAATTTACTCATGTTGTGACATGAATTTTCTTACATTTATTTTTGGTTTCCAACTTACGGTAATTTATAAATTGCAGAAAACTCTTATGAATGGTAAAATTACGTGTAAATTTAAACACAAATCGCAATATTAAGACTTCCTAGAATATTAAGCTTGCTCAATTATTGCCTCGTAAGCAGATTGATAAAGTGGAAAATTTCTAAATTTTTTTCTGTTTTTCAAAAATTTATTATCAGTCAATCATTCATTGTTTTTGTCTCTAATTATGATTTATTTTTCTGATTTTGGAGTTAATATTATTAAATGTGTTTGTAATGAATGGTGGGCAAAAGTTAGCTCACAACTTTGAGAAAAAAAAAAGGTTTTTTAAACTGTTACAAATAGAAATAAGTAGGTATAATATAGATATTTTGTGCCAATTTTTCTATATTTTCTTTCCGTTTCAGAGAAGGAATGCGCGTGAATATCTATCTAGACGGAATGGAAATTACGACCTACACTTACAGCCCAAAATATGACGTAATTTATTATACTATAATATATTGATGCTAAAAAATATTGAGTAGTTTATTGTTGTATGTACTTTGTTGTTTATTTATTTTTTGGATAATTATTATTTCACTTAATTTATTTTACACATCATAAAAAGCATATTATGAGTTATTATACATTGGTCTCGGACAAAAACTGCATGTGCCCGCTTTGTGTACATTAATTAAATTCCAGTAAGGCATAAATATTTTCCCAGAGCTCCCGTTTCAGCTCATTGCGCTGCAAGTAGTAGTTTTTGTTGTGATTTTGAATGACACTTGGACAAGCCAAGCGAGCTAGTCATTGGTCTTTGTCGAATTTAATCAGGTGCACCTTTCGTTTGACAAGACAGTAGCGCAAGGGTGAAGTACGTCTTAGCACAGAATTAATTCCACTGATTTTATGAGCACGTATATTACATGTACAGGGTGAGTGTAAGTAGAGTCGAGGATCGAACCCCGTCCCCTTCGAACCACAGTATTATTTTCTAACTACCGGGTTACCACTTTTGTGCTGCAAGAAGTAAACCTGTAAATGAAAAAAATAATGTTTACGATATATTTCCATGAAAGAAAATCACATAATTCTCACATGGTTCCAAATATTTACCATACGCCACATTGCATGTCATAGTCGGAGGAAAGAAATTTACATACATCAAAATGCAACGGAAAAGTGTTTAAAAAGACGCGTATCGCCATCTATCGAAAAAAAAGTAGAACAGAAACCAGCAGCTCAGTGGGAAAAAAATTTGTTTTTCTACTCGATTTCTACTAATTTTATAAATTCTATTTAATAGAGTTTGTTTTCCTACAAATTTAGAATAGTCTCCATTGCATTTAAAGACAATTGTTTGCTTATTCTATAGTCATTATTCATTTTGTTAGTTCATCTTTAAGTAATAATTCAAATAGTGTTAAAAATTATTCACATGTTAAGTATTTATTTAGATATTATTGTATTTTTGTATATATTTTATATTTTTTGTAATTTTGTATTTTTGTAGTTTTTTTTATATATTTTTATGGAATATTTTCATTTAGTATTTTTATATATATTTCCTTTGTCATCGTATTTTGCTCTTAAAAACTTAGTTACGAAATAATTATTTAGATTCCTCTTTGATCCTTTCTAAAATGGCTGTGGAAATTTTAAATATAAAAGGTGCTATGGTGCTTTCTACTGCCATACCAATCAGTGGCGACGGAGTTTTTATTTTTCTAGCAATAACATATAAATATTGTACCACATTCAAAATATAACTAGAGAGGTGCGTAAGGCAAGTAATGAAGCATTTGAAATGAAGCTATATCTTATTTTAAGATAGAGATGGAAATAATTTTAATTTTATCTGCTGCTTACTATGCCGAAACGAATGAGATTATGATTTTAAATAATTACTAAAAATCAATACACAAAGAACATTGACAATATCGAGGACATCGATTGAAAATGTACTTCTACGTGAGGGGCAAAGGCAGTGGCTAGATGGTGGAAAAATTTGGTCAATATATTATTAAAACTGATTAAGGTGCTGGGATTGGAAGAGGGCATGAAAAATTGCTTATTTTAAATATTTCAATACAGTTGTACTGTGTTTTCGGTTTAATTACAATTAAAGTGCATATGCTGTAAAAGATAAGTTTAAGAAGTGACCCAACTGGCCTCTAAAGGCGGCTAGTAAAATATTATTTTCATTGCTCTTTTTATGTGTATCGCTCATTTCCTATTAAAAATAACTGATAATTCTATGTGTTTTAAAAATTAATTGTAATTTAAAAACTGATTTTAAAAAAGACAGAAAATAGAATTGTACGGTATACTTCCTTTTGCTAGGAAAACCAAATTTATTCCCACCAAGTTTCACAGTTAGTTACGAAGTTAATCAGCAGAGGGTGCTGCCTACTAGAGAAATCTATAAAACAATGTTTTCTAGGTATCAGACCATTAAAACTAAAATGGTTTCATAGAAGTATTAGTTTTTTCTGCATACTGCACCCTTTAGTTGTTGCAAGAATTTAAAAAAAAAACATCATTTGATAGTTTTTCTCTGAGGAAAGCAACATTTCTTAGCGAACTTCATGATTAAGACGAAACTTGTAAATAGCTGATGCTGATTTCTAAAATAGAACGAAACCAATTGTACATTTCTGTCTACTTCTTTTTTCG